CCACACAGTGTCCGCCAGTTGAAGGCGCCTGTACCGCTCATGTTCGAGATCGTTGCGTAACCCTTGCGTTACGCGATCAAAGAAGCTCTCGGGAACACACGATCGTGTAGAGAGCGTCTTCCCTCCTCCTCCACCTCCATTAGAGGACTCTCGCGGTGGCTAGCGCTATCTAGTTGAGCAGCTGTTGAACCACCGCGACGTGAACGAACGTCGGACGAGTTACCTCGTCCGGTGGAGCGGTTATCCCCCATCCTAGGATACTTGGGAGCCCCGCTCCCAACTGATAGTTGACGTACTGGGTTTGGTTGAGCAGTACGACGCGGCACATCCTGTGCCGCAGAAGGACCGCCGGAGAAAGTCTTCCCGGCACGGTCGTAAAGGGATTTCAGGTTGTCAATCCCTTCGTACATCTCAGTAGAGACACGTACGCGCCACCACGGGCTGGTAAGGAGGTAAGCCTCCTTAGGTGCTCGTGCAGAGTTGTTCACACAACATGGGCACGAGTCTCCCCAAGAGAGGCAGGGTAATCCTTTCTCCCTTGACAGACGATGCAGCTTGTAGCGTGCACCTGTCGGGGTTCGCTTTTCAAACTTATCACGAGCTTTGATAAGTTTGTCGTTCCAAGCGTCACGACCTACATCCTCAAGGTTATGGATGTAGGCGTTCCACGCCTGAAGCAGTGAAGTACCATCACGCTTGTGATTCCCACTGTACCATCGATGTCTAATGAAAGCATCGATGAAGAATTCATGTTCAGCGCGATAGTCTTTCGCGCTGGGGTCAAGGTGATGGATCCTTGACGAATCGAACAACCGTGTTCGATAACGATCACTCGTCGTCGCCGACAAGTGATCCATAACGGATTTGGGAGGCATCCATGCCTTCTTCTCGGGGGCGAGACGCAACACGTTACGGTCCCGCTCTTCCTGCGACGTGCCGACAGAAGGACTGGCACCTCGTTGCGAAGTGGTGTCCATGGGAGAACCGACACCACTGTTAGAGCCCGAGTCTCGCGACCTCGAGCGCCTTCGCTTCGGCGATGGTTCATCTGATTCATCAGATGAACTTAAGATGCTACGACGTATAGCATCATCCATGCCACGCTTGGCAGGCGGCTTGGATTCGATCGCCGTCGATACGGATCCGTCTTCCGTATCAGGAGAGTATGAGACACCGAGCTCATCCTCTGTGAAGACATGAGTGTCTTCATGACCAGCGCCTGCATCACCAGGTGACATAGGCTGAGTCGCTTCAGCAACCGATGAGACATCGGTTGCAGCGGTTTCTGCTTCGGCGTCTGCACAGAGACGTGCAGACGCGCTCTCAGCGGCCTTGTTCGCGCATCGCATGGACTTGTTAACCATACGATGAAACTGATGGACTGTGGACTCGGACCAACAAGTGCAAGCCCTGTCCCAAATGATTCGGGACGAGTACCCATTCATTCAATCAGTTACTGAAGTGACTGATGGTTTAGGGGGGGTGATGTAACGGGGTGAACCGTTACATAACAATTTATAAGAAATTGTTAATAGAATATAACTATAAGAGTTATATTCTCAGAATAGTGTCATAAGGACAATATTCTGCAGCACTTTCGAGTAGTTCCTAATTGGTTGATATAGGCCATTATATCAACCAACGAAGACGCGCCACGAAAGACGCACGCAATGAGTGGTGAGCAGATAGTTGATATACACATTTGTATTCAGACATAGTTAGATGAGGATAAATAGTGATTTATTACAGACATTACCTACACTAAATACAGTTCTACTTTCTACTTAAACTAAGTACTCGCTTCTTCTACTGTCTTCCTCTGCACGTACCAGTGTACGTGAAGTTCCGAGGCACCGCCTTATTCTGTCGTCAGAATAAGTAGCTTGTACTGTCACCAGTACAAGCTGTAGGGTGCCTCGTTACACGGTAAAGCAGCAGCGATTTGGGATTGCTTCTCAAGGTGAGGCAACCTGACCCAAAGCATTCGTACGAAACACGTTAGGTTTACAAAGCACTTGACGGCCACGAAGCACGATGAACGAGATCACATCTTGAACGGCTATGTACTAGAAGGTGCTGCACCTCGTAAAGTAGCATCAATGTTGATCAAGGCGATTGGCCGATTAGCGGCACTTGTCGAACAGGAACACACGATCTCATGGAGCACAGTTTTTCTCCATACCCTGCATAACACCGGAGACAGAAGCGTTTGACACAACAATAACAAATGCGTTTGAACCTTTTCTTGTTGATTAGAACCGAGATCCTCAACCCCAGTGTTAATCAGCATCTTGAATCCGCGGCAGCGCAAATCTTGAGACGGAACTTGACACTGAAGAAAATGGCTCGTCCAGTTGCAGCAAGCTAGCAGGACTCTCGTCGTCACTCTTACTTCTTTGTCGGAGAAGAGCGTCGAAGTCGAACAGCTAACTTTGCTGCTTGCCGTCGCCGTCACCGCCGCTCGGTTATCGGCTCCATTTCTTTCACCTCTCAAAGTTTTTTAAACGGTGATGGCGGCAGCTTTTTACCGTTGTGGCCTTTTAAGGCGTTCCCCGGCGCGTCTGATCTCATCATCGGTGCGGATCCACCTGCGACACGGTTCACGCAGATAACACCAACAGCGAGAAGAAAATACCGAAGAAGCACATGCTGAAGTTTTGTGTGTTCGTCGTTATTGCAAAATTGATAATGACCTTTCTTTAAGAGGGCGCCGCTGCCCTCACTAGGGCTCCGTCCTACATCGTCCCACGCGTCTCGCACATCCCGCATTCTATAATTGCGAGCCCGGAGGGTGAAGCTATCATTCAGTGTGCACAAGATTAATTACCGAAATTTTGAACGTACAAATCAGTGTGTGTGTGTGTGTCTGTCTGTTTGCAAATGAATTACGCGGTTGAGTGTACTTTCGCGGTCGAATTATAAACGAGGCATGCCACCTTACAAATATATAGGGGTGTAAACGGTCTCCCTTCGACTAGGTCAGTATTGCGGTGCACGCACGTGATTTGCTTCAATTGACAATTAATGAATATGATCACATAAGCAAATGCTAAATTTTCATAAGAAGAGGCTGATCGCGTTAGCTTAGCCTACATTACTATATCATCACAGACATTACCAGCAGCGTACTCTTTCTACAGTGACTGCCGGTGCTGTGATATGGTGTTATGCATCTTTGTAACGGGGCACCCTGAAGCTTGTACTGGTGACAGTACAAGCTACTTATTCTGATAACATAATAAGGCGGTGCCTCGTAACTTCACGTACACTCGTACGTGCAGAGGAAGACGGTAAGAAGAAGCGAGTACTTGGTTAGAGTAAAAAGTAGAACTGTATTTATAATAGTTAATGTCTGCAATAAATCACTATTTATCTTCATCTAACTATGTCTAAATACAAATGTGTAAATCAGTTATCTGCTCACCACTCATTGCGTGCGTCTGTCGTGGCGTGTCTTCGTTGGTTGATATAATGGCCTATATCAACCAATTAGGAACTACTTGAAGTGCTACAGAATATTGTCCTTATGACAATATTCTGAGAATATAACTCTTTATAGTTATATTCTATTAACAATTTCTTATAAATTGTTATGTAACGATTCACCCCGTTACATCACTCCCCTTTAACCATCAGTCACTTTAGTGACTGATTGACTAAATGGATACTCGTCCCAAATCATTTGGGACGGGGTTTGCACTCTGTTGGTCCGCGTCCACTTTCCAACATCTCATCGCATGGTAAACAAGCCCATGCGATGCGCGAGCAAGGCCGCCGAGAGCGCGTCTGCACGTCTCTGTGCGGACGCCGAAGCAGAAACTACAGCAACTGATGTCCCATCGGTTGCTGAATCGACTCAGCCTGTATCACCTGGTGATGCAGGCGCTGGTCATGAAGACACTCGTGTCTTCACAGAGTACGAGCTCGGTGTCTCGTACTCTCCTGATACGGATGACGGATCCGTATCGACGGCAATTGAATCCAAGCCGCCTGCCAAGCGTGGCATGGACGATGCTTTGCGTCGCAGCATCTTTGGTTCATCTGATGAGTCAGATGAACCATCGCCGAAGCGAAGGCGCTCGAGGTCGCGAGACTCGGGCGCTAATAGTGGTGTCGTTTCTCCAATGGACACCACTTCACAGCGAGGTGCCAGTACTTCTGTCGGCACGTCGCAGGAAGAGCGGGACCGCAATGTGTTGCGTCTCGCTCCAGAAAAGAAGGCATGGATGCCTCCTAAATCTGTCATGGATCACTTGTCGGCGACGACGAGTGATCGTTATCGAACACGATTGTTCGATTCGTCAAGGATCCATCACTTGACCCCAGCGCGAAAGACTATCGCGCTGAACATGAGTTCTTCATCGATGCTTTCTTCAGACATCGATGGTACAGTGGGAATCACAAACGTGATGGTCCCTCACTACTTCAGGCGTGGAACGCCTACATCCATAACCTCGAGGATGTAGGTCGTGACGCTTGGAACGACAAACTTATCAAAGCTCGTGATAAGTTTGAAAAGCGAACCCCGACAGGTGCACGCTACAAGCTGCATCGTCTGTCAAGGGAGAAAGGATTACCCTGCCTCTCTTGGGGAGACTCGTGCCCATGTTGTGTGAACAACTCTGCACGAGCACCTAAGGAGGCTTACCTCCTTACCAGCCCGTGGTGGCGCGTACGTGTCTCTACTGAGATGTACGAAGGGATTGACAACCTGAAATCCCTTTACGACCGTGCCGGGAAGACTTTCTCCGGCGGTCCTTCTGCGGCACAGGATGTGTCGCGTCGTACTGCTCGACCAGACCCAGTACGTCAACCATCAATTGGGAGCGGGGCTCCCAAGAATCCCAGGACGGGGGATAGTTGCGCCACCGGACGAGGTAACTCGTCCGACGTCCGTTCACGTCGCGGTGGTTCAACAGCTGCTCTACTAGATAGCGCTGGCCACCGCGAGAGTCCTCTAATGGAGGTGGAGGAGGAGGAAAGACGCTCTCCACACGATCATGTGGATCGGTGTGTTCCCGAGAGCTTTTGATCGCGTAACGCAAGGGTTACGCGACGATCTCGAGCATGAGCGGAATAGGCGTCTCCAGATGGTGGACACTGCCTCGAAGCATCGAGCTGAGTTTGCCTTTGCTCAGCTTGAGAACGAGAGATCTCTGACATCTCTTCGTGACGAGCTAAGGGTAGCTCGTGGGATTGTTGATCGGTCTCGGGCTGAGATAACTGCTCTTCAGACCCTTGTTGATGCCCACCATCGGGAGCACAAGGCTCTCTGCGAGATGCTTGAGCGCAAGGGCGTTCTTCATCGGAAGAAGCAGCGTACTGATGGTACGGCTTAAGCCGACCAACGTAAAACGTGGGATGCGTTCGCATCTTACGTGGTAACTCGATCGTGTATGCATTGCCTAGGCGGTGCAATACACGAAATGGGCCAATGTACTTGGGTAGTAGTTTACTGCTACCCAAGTTAGTCACTACATGTTTTGGTAGATTAACCGTAGACAGTAGGACTAAGTCACCTTTATTAAATAAAAGAGTGTTTGCCCTTCCATTCTTGTCAGCGTTTTGCTTTTTGCTTATCCACCGCTTCGGCGATGGAGTCTTGCACAAAACGGACTACCGTTTCACGAGCCAGTATGAACTCATCTGATGACTCGTTAGCTTCAGTGTGCTGTGAGCGCACTGCAGCAACAATAACCTTTTCTTCAGTGAGGGCTTCCGCACTCTCACTGGCATCATCTTCTTCGATATCGATGTTATCGATATCGGCATCAAACGCAATGACTTCTTCGTCAGAGCGTGATGAGCGTGAACCAAATCGGTTTTTGCTCGCGCGAGTCCCTCCCCCTTAAACCAGAGTTACACTCTAGTAAGGTGGGTACACGCGGATGGCGCAAGCCATTCACGTAAAACGGTGTATGTGTCGTGGACGCATGCACCGAGTTGTTGATGGCAAACTCTACCATCGGCAAAAACTCACTCCAACTCTTAAAGGAGTGTACGTATCCTCGAAGTATCTCTTCAAGGACACGATTGGCACGTTCCGTCTGACCATCTGACTCTGGATGATCAGATGTTGACATTCTTCAAGCGCGTTCCGAGTGATTTGAACACGGAACGCCAGAAATCAGCAGTGAATCGTGGATCTCTGTCTGATACGAGTTCACGGGGCAACCCATGAAGTCGGAAGATGGTGTCAATAAAGACACAAGCACAGCCACTTGCCGTGATTGTCTCTGGTACAGCCACAAGGTGTACCATTTTGCTGAATCTGTCAACAAATACGAGAATACCCGTATTCCCGCGTGCGTCTTTGGGTAACCTGAAGACGAAATCCATTGAGATGGATTCCCAGCACTCAGCCGGAACCGGTAGAGGCTGTAAAGGTGCACGCAGTGAAGGACTTGACTTCACTCGTTGGCAGACTTCGCATGCGCGAACATACTTTCGCACAAACTGATACTGGCGGGGCCAGTAAAAGTCTCGACTTACCGTGAGATATGTTTTCTCTCGGCCACGATGTCCTCCTATAGGAGCATCGTGATATTTCGAACATGATCCGCAAACGCAGATCAGTATCATCTGGAATGACAACACGTGGTGTGTCACCAGAAACGGCTGTATAGTACAGTAAACCGTTACGAGTAGTGTATCGATCTGATGCAGATCGATACGCAGACGACAATCGTTTCAACGATTCTCGAGATGGTTGGGAGAGATGTGACAACAACTTCACTATCTCACCATCTTGGGCGTATGCCCGCCTCACATCATCATACAACGTTGTAGATGGAACTGAGGACGTCATAACCGCAACAGTGACTGTCTCACTGTTGGGTTTCGCGACTGTTTCAAAGTCGGGACGACGTGAGAGTGCATCAGCGACGACATTAAGTCGTCCTGGTTTGTACTCGACCGTAAAGTTGTATTCTGCAAAGAATGACAACCACCGCGCCATTCGTTGTGAAAGGTGTGGGCTGTTCACTGCCGTGCGTAAGGACGCATGGTCAGTGTAAACAACGAAGGGTCTATCTCCTAATAGATAGACTCTGAACTTCGCGAGTGCATACTTCATGGCAAGGAGTTCCTTGTCATGCACTGGATAGTTCCGCTCAGCTGGTTGCAGCTGACGCGACTGATAGCAGACGACGCGTTCAACGCCTTCAAGGTCGTACTGCATTAATGCACAGCCGATTGCGAAATCGCTGGCATCACAGACCACATGAAATGGCCTGTCCTGATCGGCTATTGCTAGGACTGGGGATTGTATCAAGCTCTGCTTGATACCCTCAAAGGAGCGTTGACATTCAGCGTTCCATAACCACCTCTCGTTTATTTTTCAACAAACGAGAGAGGTGTACAGTCATCTCGGCGTGATTGCGTGAATACTTATGAAAATACGCCGCTAGCCCAAGGAATTTTCGAAGACCTTTGACATCGACCGGCACAGGCCAGTCGGTGATCGCCTTGATCTTTTCGGGATCAGGACGTACACCGTTCTTACCAACGATGCACCCAAGAAGTGGTATTTCGCTTGCTGCAAATATACACTTCTTGAGGTTTGCATACAATTGATGCTTTCGCATGATTGTAAGAACCTGTCGGACGTGGTACTTGTGAACCTCAACGTCCGACTTTCCATCCATAGCTCGACTATGGATGAATACGTCATCGAAATAACTCGGCGCGAATTCTCGTACTGGCCTCAACAGATGTGATACACACCTGTTGAACGTGGCAGGGGCATTACTGAGCCCTTGTGGCATTACTAGCCATTCCCAGAGCATGCCGCTAGGGCGTGCTAACTGCGGTATAGGGTATATCCTGTTCCCGCATTAGGATTTGATAGAAGCCATCCATCAAATCCATGGACGAAAAGATGGTACTCTTTGACATACCATCAATGATTACGTCCTTCCTCGGTATCGGCGTCTGAGCCGGTACCGTTGCAGCGTTCAATTTGTTAAACGCGTGCACTATCCGCCACCCTCCTGTTGCTTTTCGCACACAGAAGGTCGGAGAGCTATGTGGGGAAGTTGATTCCCTCACATGGCCTGCTGCTAAACGATCGGCAAAGAACTTGTCGATCGCAAGTACTTGTTCACGAGGCAGTGGCCACTGCTTCATGACACAGTACTTCGAGCCTGGGTTAAGCTCGACCTCGTGTCGAATACCTTTATCCTTCGGTAATTCGCACGGAACAGTTTCAGGGAATACATCCTTGAATTCAACCAAATCTTCATAGAGAGGATTTTCCTTGAGCGATTCCCATGATTGGGACTCATATCGCTCAATTCGTGTCTTTTCATCTAGGACACTCTCGTCCATAGATGAACTACTGAGAACTCTCTCGTTCTCAGTAAACACTGTTGCTGACCTTATGTCGGTTACATACTCGTCGTCAGCGACGAGTATGCAGATCTGCTTGACTTTGCCACTACGCAGATCACGCAAGAACCTTTATGTTCGAGCGTTGGCAACTGAGTGATCTCCGAAGTTAACTTCGGAGGCGCAATCAGATCAAGTGTATAAGCGCCTACACATGATCCGTTATTGACTATGACATTCAATGTCTCTGTCATTTCCTGGGGACTTATTCCCTCAGGCCTCGAAGGACTTATTCCTTCGTCTTCCCGGGGACTTATTCCCGCGGGTTTCGGGGAACTTATTTCCGCCGTATTTGTAATCTTGGGACTTATTCCCTTTACTTCCTCTAGCTGGGGTTGCGCAACCACAGCGAGATCCTCTACGAAAGACTCTCCAGTCGATCTAGGATTATCGTTTCGCTTAACCTGAGCGATCGATTGTTTCTCTTCTAGATGTTCCCCTCTAGGGATACATCTTTGTCCCAGTCCACCCGACTTATTCGAGTGGTGGACCTTCGGCGCAGCCTGTGTTTCCTCACAGCCGCCGGAACTTTGCTCCGAAGTGTAACCGTTTGGTACACTAAGGTTTTGTGCAGTCGTACTAACGACCGTACCACAAGTGAGGCCATCGCACTCACTCGTAGTACATCCACACGCTTGTGGACTTCCAAAACGTTCATCAGATGGCCATCTGATGAACAAGCGGCAGGCATCGTTACTGTCCGATGTTGCCAGTTTACCCGTGGTTCGTACCTTCTGAGCCACGGTATTCCAAGGATGACATCAAATTTGTCATCCAAATCCAATACGATAAAGTCATCGTCGTATTGGGTATCTTCTAGCGTATAGTGAATCTTCACTATACGCTTCATGACGGTTACGGATGCGCCTGTCGCAAGACGTACCGTCATCCTCGTAGGAGGTGTGTCACATTCACTGAATTTAAAGTGACCATCTTCTAGCGATTGGCGTCGCACAAAATTGTTGGACGCCCCACAATCGACTAGAGCTCGAAGGGACAACTTATTCGTCACTTCGAGTTTCAAGGTAATGAGTGAGATCTCATTACCTAGAGCAGCAACGCACAATGTCTGTGTGTTGGGAGCAACCTTCATCAAGAGGCCTACAAATTCTCTTGACGTTGCTGGATCAGTAGGGTGCTCCGCACCTACTGATCCTGTCCGTTTTTTGACGGTCCATCCCGTTGTTGCGTCTTTGCACCAACTGCGGACCCTCGTCCCTGCCCCTTTCTCATGGGTGGACGGTCACTACGCCCAGTGTCGCGAGACACTGGACGAGGGGCACTACACTCGTAAGCGTAGTGTCCTGTCTTTTGACATCTGTTGCATCTCTGCAACTTCTTGTAGCCTGTAGAGCGAGCCTTCTCGCTCTCTACATAACAGAGTTCCATCGGCTCTGGACCTTCCGTTGTCATATCGTCTCGGTTGACGATATGATGTCGAGCTGGCGCGAGCCTGTCTCAGACTGAAGTCTTCCTGCTCCGCAATGGAAATGGCTTGTTCTAGTGAATCTAGTTCAAGCCGGAACAGGTGAGTCTTGACGGGACCATCCGCAAGACCCTGCATGAACACCGAAACCAACGTGTGTTCATCCACCGGATTGGAACTTATACAACTCGTGAGATGTCGTATATGTTGAGCGTAAGCGTGCACATCACGCTTACCCTGCTTGAGCTTCAAGAGTTCGGTTCGAGCTCTGAACTCAGCTCTAGGCGGTTCAAACGTTTGTCTGAGCCGCGACTTGAAGACTTCCAACGACCCAAACGCGTATGGGTCGTGCAGCTTGAGCCCCAGTGCCCAAGTCTTGGCACGTCCTGCCAGATTTGACTGGGCAAATGCAACTTGCATATCCCCGTCGTCGATGCGACGCGCCCTTATGGCGTCATCCACCCGACGAACCATCTCAAGAGGGAGTCTTCTTCGACCCCCCTATACTTTGAGATGTCAATCTTCAAAGTCTCGGGCCGACGCGAGTGCATCGACCCGCCAGCAGCAGCCTGCTGCTGTCTCAACAGTTCAAACTGTTGAGCACCTTGTTCTCTCAACAACTCTGCTTGTTGAGAACCTTGTTGGTGAAGCAAGGCTACTTTCTCGCGTTCTGCGTCAAGTTCATTTTGAATGAACTTGGCGATAGTAGCATGTTGGGCATCTCTATTGAGAGCCTCTAGCATGACGCTAACAGCATGGATGCCCATGGTCGAACCCATTCGTTCAACCGCATCCCATTCGACATCGCTCAAATGGGAGTAGCCGTCACGCGTAGCGTGAAAGCTTTGGTCATTTTCATCATCCAACATATTCATGTTGGATGTGAACGCGGTCCTTGGACGGACTACGAAGTGCTACCAGGTGTAACGGGGCACTCCTGAAGCTTGTACTGGTGACAGTACAAGCTACTTATTCTGATAACAGAATAAGGCGGTGCCTCGTAACTTCACGTACACTCGTACGTGCAGAGGAAGACGGTAAGAAGAAGCGAGTACTTGGTTAGAGTAAAAGTAGAACTGTATTTATTATAGTTAATGTCTGCAATAAATCACTATTTATCTTCATCTAACTATGTCTAAATACAAATGTGTAAATCAGTTATCTGCTCACCACTCATTGCGTGCGTCTGTCGTGGCGCAGTCTTCGTTGGTTGATATAATGGCCTATATCAACCAATTAGGAACTACTTGAAGTGCTACAGAATATTGTCCTTATGACAATATTCTGAGAATATAACTCTTATAGTTATATTCTATTAACAATTTCTTATAAATTGTTATGTAACGATTCACCCCGTTACAATCTTGGTTCATTTACCCGAACTGGATTATTGCTACTTAAGAGCGATCTCTAAAGCTTGCTTTCCTGTATTATGTGATATCAAGATTTTATAAAATTGCACGATCCTTTAATTCAATGGGACTCGAGATTGCGTAAAATGAAAGCAACACCCGTGTCATATGTATCTATAGTCAAATCCGGTAGACACAGTCATTTTTCGACCTTCTGCCAAGGTAGTTATCCAGGCATTACAGATGATTGTAAAGAGGATTCGGTCGTCTCTAGCGACTATACGATGAGCATCTTAAGACTACTAGGGGTTCTCGGCTTTAACCTACGGTGGAGGTGTTTTTTGCTTTTGTAATTCAATTGCTCAAATGCCTTGTCACGAGATTGCAATATACCACCAAACGTCAAAATTGTCTACGAGCAATCGCGATAGCCTAGTTTTATTTACTAGGATCATGCTTTGAGACGTATCTACTAAAAAAACTCAAGTGTAGTGGCGTTTGTATGTGTGTGTGGCAAACCTTCGCAATCTAACCACCTTCACTATTCGACAAAATGCCTGCATGAGTATTTCATTAGCAGCATCGATAAGGATCGAGTGAACAAGGCATCCAGCTTCTACACTTGTTGTAGCAAGTTAGTTTTGATGCTAGAGAAAAGAAGTTAACCGCATCAACACTACTGCTTTCATTTTTGGTACCCTTATCGCGTATGGACGCGATCATGTGCGTAAAAATGGGGTCGTAACGAAATAAATATAGCGTAAAATGCGGCCAATTATCTCGAAACACAGTTTCCTGCGTCCCATCCCGTTTTGAGCAGGATGAGACGTCTAATAGGCCAATCCTGTTCCATCCTTCGCGAAATGAAGCCGTACCCCTCACAATCTTCCGCTAAAAAAAATAAAATCCGTACGTGCGCACAGGGATGTTGATTGACCGGTCGCAATGCTTAAGTGACGGTCACTGTCACAATGACCGGTCAAGTAACCATACGTGGCCTTACATGATCTTAAGTGATCAGGCCTTTATTCGATACACTGTTTTTTAATTTAATTTCGCTTTAGCCACACACTCACTATTACTACGACCACTGACAAAAATACCACGGTAACAGACACCACGTCCAAGAAATTTGTAGCCGATCACATCTTTGAATCTTTTTACAGCTAGCTAACAAAACAAAAAGAACAATAGATTGCGGCTTGCTGGCGCCAGGCATACGAGATGAATGTAGACGGGACGAAAGCGGTCAAGCAGCAAAAAGTACGCACTTGACATCTTTCTTGTTTTGCTGCTCATTTCACTATGGTTTGTGCTGCCATGTGTCTTTATTTTTGTGGCTGTCACTGTTGTTGATGCTTTTAGAGCAGCAAATGCGTACCATAAAGTATCCGGAGAACGCTTGCCGCAACTAAAGTAGCAGAAGCTACCACACGATAATCTGAAGCTACTGTAAAGCCAAGTGTTTCATACGAAGAAGTCGACAAGTTCATCAGTATTATGGTGGACCAGCAGTACACACTTATCAGTCTAGTGCTCCTGGCCTTTGACCGCAATTTGTGTTGCCATCAGAATTTGCTTGTTGCTGTTGTTGCTAACGCTAATTATTTTGCTATTATAGCGTCTAATGCGTACAATAACCTCAAGTTTTAAATACACCACTCTTCTTTTACGACGAATCAGACAAGGTCACCTGCTTGTTTCTGGACCGCAGGCTGTCGTAGAATCAGTGTCTGCGTCCTTAACGGTCTACACACTAATTTTTACGGCCACGTAACAACTTTACATTACATCTTTCAGTAATCATTATCAAACACTATACGTCTTCATCCCGCTTTTAAGCGCATCAGGAAAGTAATTGACCACTATCAATTTTCGTCAACAGCAAAACAATTTGACAAAATTAAAGCTTTACTTTTAACTTACTGACCATGATGATGAACCTATCGACCATAGGCCGGTCTCGAGAATATTGTGCATTTACATTTATAGCTGGCATTTAATCATGTAGATGCTTCTTTACCTCTCCTTAGCTACACCTCAACTCAGATCCTGCTATCATCATCACAATTACCGTTCACATCATCACAGATTAACTTTTCTCCTCAAAAGATGCACCTTCGGTTAATTATCAAACTCGGCGATTGTATCGGCTATTAAAGTTGCAAGTGTTGCAGTCACAAAACCGATTTTGTCGCCTTCTTCCCGCGTCCCATTCGACCGAAATTTGACAGTGCTTATTAGAAAAATGATGGTGTTCATCAATCTCCTCGAACTATTTTGCTTCAATCTTGGTCTTATTACAAGCGTCACCAACAGCTCTTATGCCTGTCTCTCCAGATAATACTACTCCACTATTCTTCTTCCACGGTAGTCGGTAGCCAAATTTATACCTTGTTGGGCATATGCTTGCACTGGTCATTTACGTATTCACGTAATCATGCCTCATTTTTATTGGTCTTGCACTAAAGCATTCTTTCTTTCGATGTTAATAAAGCCCAGATTGATCCAACATCGTTTGGCTGAGGCGGCAAATGAGTTTGTGACAAGAACTTCATGGCAATCTGCGTCAAAATATAGTAACTCATATGCAATGTCAGACAATACAAAACCTTACTGAAGCAGAAGAAAGCAGCATTTTTGTGATCTGACTATTTGTATGTTAGTAACGTATGTCACTTTTATTTTATGATAATATTAATACGGGGTTCAATTTCGGCTACGTCGAATAAGGGACCAGTTCAATTGACATAGATCAGTCACTTTAATTCCTGTGTGTGTCTCTCTTTTAATCTCCTTGTGAGTGCTTAACCATGGAAGTCGACGACAGATGAAGCTCAATCAAGAGGAGGGTACATAAAAGTACTTTACAATTGCGACGTTCGTTTAATAATGTGCTCAAGTACAAATCGTTAAAGGATTATCACTCGCATACAACTAAGCATCTCGCTCATTCTTCGTACGTTAGTAACCTCTTTTAGCTCCTGCGTCAGTCATAATATGAGCTGGCGATAAATGCAAGCTTAATTTGAAATTTATGTTCCAGTTTGTGGCACACTTCACGATTATGAAAGGGCTATTTGCTTCCATTCCTCTCTTTACAACGATTAACGGGTATGTACAGGAGTTTGCATCTCTTGCTGATAGACTAGAAGATCTAGTCGGAATTGGTATACCCAATAACAATCGCGCCCGCTCGGCTGCGCGCAGACGCGGCATTTGGCGACGGCGATAGCAACAACGACTTATCTCGTACCATTCCAGCATTAAATACAGGGTGAGCAATTACTGAAATCATGCTACCATCATTTTATTCACAATGGCTATATAAAAGCTCTCGAGATCTACAAAATGATACCTACATAACCGTTACAAGAATTTTTGAGGGGCCACTGTCGCTGCGATGCCGTTGCGTTTATGAATAATATACTGCTTTTGCATAGCCTTAATTTGCGGGAAGTGCAAGGATGACCACCATTAGATAAGCAAACATGACGCAGTGGGTGAATCAGGCTATGATATGCCTTTTTACTACTGTAAAAAGTAATTACAGTCAATTTGGCAGGGACCGCTCAAAGAAGCAGTTTTTTGGCAGTAGGATTGTTGTGACAGGGTGATCCGCTACATAAAATTGATAACAATATATCAGTTATGAATATTGTCGATTTAGGTAATTTTTTATAAATGTCACTCGTGAAGAGGTGATGTTGGTGGAATGTGACCTCCGAAGGTAATTTAGTGAGCCTTCAATTTTGGTTGATGTAAATACTTAATTAAAACTGTTAATCACTGCTGAACGCGTGCAAAGTGTGATGAGCAAAAAAACACACAGGAGCTTGTTCTTTAATGTATTTAGATTAGACAAAGATAATTTGCATCGAAACTTTATTATAGTAAACATACTGATCTATCTTTTCCCTAAACATAGCTCTTAATGATGTTTACTTCGCTGCTCTTCCTCACGCCTTGTGTAAGTGACGTCAAGAGAGAGCAACCTTGTTTTTAGTCAACATAAGGTCTTACTGGTCATCTGCATAGGGCTTGCCCCGTTACACTTAACGCTATGTAAAGAACGGAATTCTTTGAATCTTGCGGAACCATAGAGAGCTTTCTTTGGCACTTGCTAGGTCTGTACAGCTGTTATAAGGTTTTAATCAGGATGATTTTACCGGTTATACTATGTCTTCATCATATATGCATAACACAATGGAACCGGTTAATCAGCTGACGTGTGACCCGATAAATTTTTCGGTACACAGACAACACATTCGAGTTAATATGAACCGTGGACACTTTACACACCATATACAAAAGGATATCCTATTTTGAAGGTTCCAAAGAAATACAGTCACATCCGGCTCTTTTCAAAACAAGTTCAGTACTGATTAGTGGACGGCAGAACATCCCAGCCAGCTCCAATCCACAAGCACTTTGACAAGTACTTTTAAAAAAAATCACTACGATGACGTTGCGATATAGGCAACAGGCAATCTGATATCCGAGTAAAAGAGGAAATGTTTTTGTGAAATTACCGATCCCCGCTCTCACTTCGATAAAGATTGAGGCAAGAGAAATGAGAGAGTTTAACTTCGTCAGGGCAACTGTCAAGGAAACCAAATTAACTAGTAAAAGCAGCCGACCTACAGTGCAAGCGAACGTGGCCGCTTCTTTCCGAATCTCTACAAAGAGCATGTCAACTAGGTGATGCAGTATCTAAAGGATTTGCATGACATCCTGTATCAAAGTTGTGTAGTACCTCTCAGTGCAAAATACACTTTTAATGAACTGTTTTGCGGATAGGAGGAAATGTTGGGATGCATGCAAAGATCTGCGAGGTACAAGAGCAACTCTTCAGTAATTATGTATCTATCGTCAAGAAGTAAGTGTTTACCAGACTGATAAAGTTGATATGTGTTCAATTTTTCTTGTCCTCACCGTGCTGTAGATCTTTTCGGTACAGGTTATAAGCCTGAATTCTACAAATTTGTCGGCATTGTAACAAAGTTACACCGCTAAGACTAATCCCGCTGTCACAAAAGAAATTTGATGGAAACATATCTGTCAAACCTTCAGTCAAAGAAGAACAAGACATCACTGTTCTTTTTTTTCAGACCATGAGCGCAAGGCTCGACAAATTGGAACGACAGATATCGTCAAGTAAATTTTGAGCTCACGCTGCAGCGGAGGCGTTCGTTTTAGAATGGCTTTCGACGTCGTTTATGCACACGGTGTGCAATCCCGCTCCAGAATGATTGCGGTTGACTTCGTCTACGCGCACGTTGCACAATCCCGCTCCAGAATGGTTGCGGACGGACCGCATAAGAGCATGTTGTGCAATCCATCGAGTTTAGTCCCAGTTGAAATCGAGAAAGAATTATCCATAGAATCCAGAAGGCTTAGAGTAGCAGCTTGTGTGTGAACTAAGGACCTAATGCAATCACTTCTGTATTTTCCATCAAGGCATAACTTTCCAGGCACCACACACGCTATGGCCAAGCTTCCGTACAAATTATTCTGGGACCAATAACTATCCATTTGAGCACCATCGGGGTTGGAGAAGTTTGTGAAAAGGTTTTGCTTTGTGTATCCTGTCTGACACTTTAAGATCTGCACCAAAGGCAACGTGCACGTGATTGTAATTTTTCCACAGGCACCCTACATGCGCAAGCATCTAAAGATCACGTCTTGCAGACGCCCCAGTCACATCCAGGGGTTGACGAAGAGCAAATTCAACGTAGTATAGCCCAATTGGGTGCTACAAAAGTGCTGTTACGGATACCAAGACGTCAAAGATGATAATTCAGAGATTGACCTGTACGTTGGACTGAGTAAAGGTTCACCTGAATGGATATTTTCAAAACCGGAAGTGCTGAAGATGGCGGAGGCGGCCACTGGATATCGCGGGGTAGAGCGTGTAAAGTCAATCATCTTGGGATAGTTATCATGTAAAGACTCGACTGCTTCGGACTTCTTTCACCAAAAATGTGACAATTTGTGGTCTAATTCACCACATCTGGATTTCATCCTAAAAGAATGTACAAGATTATCAAAGGGATAGTAACTCATGAGCAAGATTCAATACTTTGATGGAGCAGAAGAACTTTTTTGGACGTGGTCTCAACACCTTCTTTACCTTGTATACCTTGCTCGGGTCAGTGAGTCAAGCGAGCCCAGAATTATTGGTGAATTTGTCAAGCATGCAGCTCCAGAAAACCACCACACTATCTTGGTTAGGCTTGACTTAAATCGCTTTGACCATGTCGCACACGCACAAGAAACGATTGGTTGTGCTACAGCTTAAAAATGACCAAAAGAAGGCGAATTATCCGGGTATCGATATCGTTCCAGCAGTTACGGAGTCATTAGATATTGAATTACGTGGCGCGACTGGACACACTAAGCGAAAATTTTTGACTTAACTCCCACAAAAAGATGGACGGGTAAATTTGACGAAGAAAAATCAGTTCTCCTTGGTCGTGGTCAGTTTTGTTAGAATTAACTAGGTTGCGGAGGTGATGTTAAGAAGAAGATGGCTTACGGCCGGGGATGAAAACCGAAAAGTGAGTTGTGTTCAAATTGTTCCTAGCTTCGAAATCGAATGGCGAGTAGTAGCCGGAGGCTTTCAGCCACCTATTTCGTGCCCCTGTCTCCACCGCTTTCTGTTTTACTTATCACTGGGTAATTACGTCTCGTAAATACCTTTCGTAAAAACTCTGCTGTGTCATATGCAGAATGAAAACGATTGCGTGGGTGGGGGACGTAACTGCGGGCGGGTCACAGTTCTGGTGAACCCCATACACCAGGTCGTGAGTGTCAGTCACAATTAACATGTACACGGCGGGGATCGAACCCGCACTCACCCGCGTGAAATTCCCCTTCCCAAGAACTGAGCCAATCCGATGCTTTGTCGTTTCGCTAACATCCCACAATATGAACCTGCCAAAGAACAATAAAACTAATGCAAATATGCAATATAAACCCTGCACAAGTCGCCGCATCATCACTCGCTAACACTTTCCCTTGATGTGCGTGCGACGTGTGCGCCCTACACCGCCATGCACAGACCCGTGATGAACTTGCTGTGCTTGTCTCTTGGAAGTGCCTTGGTGAAACCATCCGCGACCACTTCTTCTGTCGGCTTGAAGTCTAGCGCGATCACTGCACTTGCAACCTTTTCACGCAAAAAGTGAAACTTGACGTCGATGTGCTTCGTGCGCGAGTAGTACACAGGATTCTTGGCCAGCGCGATGCAACTTTAATTGTCTTGAAAAATCGTCGTCGCGTTCTTGGCACAGTTGTTTAGGTCCTTGAGCAGACCTCGAAGCCGAATTGCTTCCTGCGTCGCGCTATACAGACTCATGTACTCTGCTTCAGTACTTGAGGTCGCGACCGTTGGTTGACGCTTCGAATTCCACGATATCACGCTTCCGTTCAGGAAGAAAACTTATCCTGTTGTCGAACGCCGCAAGTCGAGGTCGCCAGCCCTGTTTGCATCCGCTAATCCAATCAGATCTCCCTTGTTGATGCCGCTGAACACGATGCTTAAACTTGAGTCATCTTGAGATACTTGAGAATCCGCTTTGCTGCTGTCCAAAGCGACTTGTCGTAGCGCTCGCAAAACGTTGCAACTTCGCCAACCGCATGCGCAATTTCCGGTCGTGTACATGTGGCGATGTACATTAAAGCGCCCACCAGCTCACGGTATGTGTACTTTGGTACAAACGCTTCCTCTTGACCCATCTTGATCAGCTTCGAGTTACTGTCCGCCGGCGTGTGCACGTCCTTGCAGTTCTCAACGCAGAACTTCTCCAAAAGTCGCTTGATGTACGCCTTCTGGTTCATCTTGATCGTTCCATCTTCGCGCTTGCGATGAATCTCGATCCCGAACCAGTACTTGAGATCTCTAAGATCTTTAATGCTGAAATCTTCCATCAATGAGTTCTTGATACTTGCGATGTGCTCCTTCATCTTGCAGAAAATCATCAAGTCGTCCACGTAGATCACGTTGATGCTGTACTCCTCTCTTGTCACTCGAACGAACACACACGAGTCGCTGCACTGCTCTTGAACCTTTGATCATCCAAGTGCTGACTCAACTTGTTGTTCCACTGCCGCGCCGCTTGCTTCATCCCGTATAGCGCCTTCTGCAGCAAACACTTCTTTTTCGGGCTTCCTTCACCTTCAAAACCGTCAGGTTGGTCCATGTAGATCTCCTCATTCACTTCGCCATAGAGAAACGCTGTGTCAACATCAACGTTTTCTGCTTCCAGGTCTTCAGCTGCAGCGATCGCTAACACTGTGTTAAGAGATTCCTTGCGCGCCACTGGTGAAAAGGTCTCGTTGTAGTCGATGCCAGGACGCTGCGTGAACCCCTTCGCAACCAAGCGCGCCTTGAACTTGATGATCTCCTCGCTTGGATCGCGTTTAGTCTTAAAGACCCACTTGCAGCCTACGGCCTTCTTGCCCGGTGGCATGGCACAAGCTTCCATGTGCTGTGTTCTTCAAGCGACTTCATCTCGCTCTTCATTGCCTGCAGCCACTTCTCCTTGTAATTGCTCCTCATTAATTCTTGATAGCTGGACGCTTGTTCCCCATCTTCTCCAGCCGAAAAACACTAGAAAGAGTCGAAGTCACCTTCGTAGTCGTCCAAATTGAAATGACCGCGACGATGGCTTGGAAACTCTTGTTCGTAGCAAACCACGCCGCGCTTCTTCCGAACCGGTCGCACCATCCACTCTTCTTTTCCATTTCTTCCGGGTGTGCTGGATGCACGCGTAGGAATAATGTCGCTTGGTCGATCTCTTGGTCCGGGATGAGAGCTGTTCTGCGCTCGAAGTGGTGGGGTGCGCAGCTCTTCTTCGGTCACCGGCGCTGTTATGTCTTCATCATCGGGTAGCGACGCCTCCACACTTTCCTCTTCTTCAATGACATCGAACACCCGCGTGTCTCTGCTTTTCGATGCTTTTGAGACAGAATGCTCAGCGAACGTGACGCTTCTTGAAATCACAATTGAGCCATCGTCCGCGTTAAGAAGCCGATACGCCTTTTGGTCCTTCGCATAGCCGAGAAAGAAACATCGCACGCCTGAGTCGTCCAGATTCTTCCTCTTCTCCTTCGCCACATGCGCATAGCATTGCGCACAAACACGCGCATGTGATCGATGCGCGGAACATTCTTGAACACCATCTCGTGTGGGCTTGAATTTTTGTTCGACGCGTTTGGCAGAATGTTTTTGATGTCTGCCGCAATCATCAGTGCCTCGCACCAGTACGACTTGTCGAGGCCGCTTTCCTTGAGCATACAGCGCGTCATCTCCACCAGCGTGCGGCTTATCCGCTCCGCCATCCCGTTCTGCTCTGGGTTGTACGGAGCCGTGAACTCTTGCTTAATGAACTTTGCCTTGCAAAAGCTGTTCATCGTTTCGTTCCGGTATTTTCCACCGTTGTGACAGCTCAACACCTTTATCATCGTTCCAGATGCTGTCTTGATATCTTGGTAAAACCGCTTGAACGCACTCGCAACGTCGCTCTTCTTTCGCAACGGATAGACCGTTACATACCTGCTCTTCATCATGATGAAGGTTACGGCGTAACTGAAACCAGACTTGGACGCTGGCGTGATGGGTCCGAGAACGTCGGAGCACACCACCACGTCGGAACGCGAACTCTCCCTGGTTTCATCGTCTTCTTCACTTGTCTTGAATGACTTGCGCACTTGCTTTGACGTTGCGCATACGTCACAAGCAACGTTCGTCTTCATCGTTGCTCCCTTGATCCTTCCGTCCTTGACCATGGCATTCAGCGTACCATACGACACGTGACCCAGTCTTCTATGCCATAGCTCTGTGTCGTCTTCGGCCATGTGGCACTCCGTACCATAGTCAGCATTGAGATACAGGAGGAACCCCTGCTTCCTTCCTGTTGCGAAAAGTGTGCCGCTACGCTTCACCACGCACTCGTTGCGCGTTATCTCCACTGTCATGCCGCGCGCTGCCGCAGCCGTGAGCGAAAACAGATTCTTGGACAAATCTTGAGCGTGAAGTGTGTTCTCAAGGCGAGCGTCGATCCACGCATGCCCTGTCCAGACGCGCAGCTTCACTGTCCCATGTCCAATGACATTCAGCTTCACGTCGCTCTTTGCGCTTGAAATACTGCGCGCATGATGCACTTCTTCGTACTCTTCGAACGCATCTCGATCCTTGCACATGTGTGCTGACGCGCCACTGTCCATGACCCAGCTGTCGCTCGCGAAACCTTCGCTAACATTAAACGCGACATTCGACTGGTCATGCTGTAGCTCCCTTGGCCCTCGACCGGAGCGACAATCTCTGACGTAGTGTCCGACCTTGCCACAGTTGTAGCAGGTCCCTGATGGTCCTTTAGCGCACCGTCCTTGTTGCTTCTTCGGGTACTGCTTACCCTTCCTCTTGCCTGCGTAGAGCGCCGTTGCATCCTTTACCCGTGCAGCCTCATTCTGGCGCACTTCTTCGGCGATCAACTTGCTCACGAGGTCACTAAAACTGAAGCTTGCGACGGACATGCAGAATGCCTGTACCAAGCTCTTGAAGATTGAAGGTAGACTCCTCAACAGTACTGCGCACACGTCCTCTTCACTTGGACCGCAGTTCGCGCGCTTCATCTTCATCACGAGGTCCTCCAGCTCCATCACATGAACGCTCATGCTTGATGCTGCATACTTGAACGAGGCGAATTTTTCCTTCAGCCAAAGTCGATTCGCCGTGTCATGACTGTGATGAAATTGCGCCAAACGTCCCCACCCTTCTCTTGCAGTGGCCGAGTCGATGACATGCATCAACTGCGAATCGCTCAGATAAAGCAAAATCGCGGCGTGGGCTTGCTGTTCCTTGGCCTCACTTGTTGTCTCATTGCCCGCGATCGCGCCCCACATCCCCTTCGACATCAGGTACATCTTCATCTTGTAACTCCACAACCCATAGTTCGAGCCGTCGAAAGGCTCGACCTTGAAACCGGAGTCGTTCTTTGGGCTCATAACCTGTTAGAACTTACTAGGTTGCGGAGCTGATGCTAAGAAGAAGATGGCTTACGGCCGGGGATGAAAACCGAAAAGTGAGTTGTATTCAAATTGTTCCTAGCTTCGAAATCGAATGGCGAGTAGTAGCCGGAGGCTTTCAGCCACCTGTTTCGTGCCCTGTCTCCACATGCGTGGGTGGGGGACGTAACTGCGGGCGGGTCACAGTTCCGGTGAACCCCAACCACCAGGTCGTGAGTGTCAGTCACAATTAACTTGTCACGGCGGGGATCGAACCCGCACTCACCCGCGTGAAATTCCCCTTCCCAAGAACTGAGCCAATCCGATGCTTTGTCGTTTCGCTAACATCCCACAATATAAACCTGCCAAAGAACAATAAAACTAATGCAAATATGCAATATAAACCCTGCACAAGTCGCCGCATCATCACTCGCTAACAAGTTTTAGTGTATCAGTAAAGGCATGCGCTCACAAAAGATCACCTGTTCAGCATCTGGTTCAGGAACTCTGGGGCTAGTCGACACATCGTTAGAGATGAACCGCTGCTTTAAGATTAAATTTAATGTAATGATCAAGACAGAATTACACTACCTAATGGTGAAACAATTCACGTGACTAATTTGTCAAAGTCTCTTTGAAGACATTAATCGATATTAAGTTCACAAAGTCACTCTATTATGAGTCTACTATGCGCCATCTCACTTTAAAAGTATGCGTCTCATCTCACATGGTCGACTGAAGAAGATTAGTTGCAGTTGTGCTAATAACGGTGGCACAACTGAAAAGGACGGTCGGATTGTGTCTGGAATTTGGGTGGTTAGATACGTTTGTGTGGTAAGTACTTTACGGCACGAGACGCGTCCTATGGCGAAACAGTTGTATTAGGAAATGTAACTAACTTCCATAAATGAAACTGTAAGGGTTTTTAAGCACACACGAGGAGGCTTTCAAGTCATCTGCCACAAGATCTTTAAAAGCGTGACCTAAATCAAGGTAGAGTCACACGCACCGCTCAGCCGACAACACGACTCCAGACAACACTCTTCGATTCACAGAGTTGAATAGATATATGAAGTGACCTCAAGGACTCCATCATGCCACACGACAAAATGAGAATGAATTAATTGTTGCATTTATTGACTAAAAGTCCAACAAGGTTTGAGCTTTTTGCAGCGATACACGATGATCAAGCAGCGGCCAAGATTCATGATTTAGTTGCAAGCTTTGAAGACATATTTGACTGCCGCATCCATGTCCCGTGCAAAGGTGGCGACGATAAGAGCGAAACTGTTTTGGTGGATCTATTCCGCAAGCAATTTGGCATAAAATGGAAGAAATTTGAAGCTGGAAAGACTTAATGTAATGGTAAGGCGAAAAGAATAAATCGCGCTATTTTCAACGTGGTTCGGTGCATGCTCTTTGGACCCAACGTATTATTTACCGAAGAAGTGACGCTGCCGAGTATTCAGACTTCATTTTTAATCAAATTCTTACGCTTGCCAACGCCAAGCGAGCTTTCTTGCTGGAGGTTTTCCTTGTCAACCTTCCCAGCATACAATACTTTGTAGAAAATGGCTCACCTTGCTAAGTTTGGTGCGACCCTTACAAACAGAGTCTAAAAGCTCACGCATTCAGCGTCTATTTCCGAATTAAGTATAAAGGAAACAAGGGTTTCGAGTTTTACTCTCTGATGACCGCTTGGATCTCACGACGTTTCGTGTCTTAACCATAGGAACACTAAAACTTTCTACCAACAAGCTCATCGCCAATGCACCCATATGGGAGGATAATACTAATTTGGAATCACCGCTACGTCTTGTTCACATACTGAAAACTGTCAAGACAAGGTGACGCGGGAAGGTATGAAACTAGCAAACAAAAAGGGTGACACCAAAAGATCGATTCAGTTACCCCTCACCAATCACTCAAAGGCGTGCGTAGATCGATAGAGCCATAAATTCCTCAAGGGAAGGCAGAAGTGACGGTGAAGTTGGTTACGATGCACAGAAGAAACCATATTCATCAAATGTTAAATCGCTATTAATTTACGCCCTAGTATCAGGCGAATAATCACTGTTTTCATGGCATTAGCGGTAGATCTTACACCGGCAAAAAAGCACTCAGTCGACGAGCCTAATTCGCTATGTTATGGCACGACGCAGCGCGAACTGCGAGTTGTGTCAGGTTTCCGGGCAGGAAGAGTTGCATTCGCAGGCAACAAACAAGATTCAAAACTTTGGTGCCTGTCCTCAACGCGCCAGACTGCTACCAGCAAGGTGAGTTTACAAGACAAAACGACATGAAAATGATGACATCGCAAATAAAAGAAAGACTTGCGGGTCGCAGTAATTTACAGATTAAGGGTAATCTACCAAGTAATGTACGCGGCTTTCGGTCAGTATCCGCATCATCGTCTTATACTCGATTATATGGCACGTATAAAAAAGACGTGGCGACGATCCTATTCATTAACGCAGCGCTCGAAAGATACTTTAGATCCAGCTCCAGATTAAGCTGTGCATTGATATTTCTTATGCAAGATTTAAGAAAATGGTGTTTACAGTGTCAGGAATCTTAAATTAAAACTGGAACGCTGCAGTTAATAATTCAAGCAGACTGAACGCCTTCGGTACGATTCACTAGTGTCCACGCTGATCAAGATCGAACATAACCATTGCATCACAGGATTCGTGTATCTATTACAAAGTGAATGATAGCTAGACAGTTTAGTTGGACGTGTCAGTGGATGACTTAAATGTCACGAGTAAAGCGACCAATGTATTAGATCGAGTAGTTGCGTTTATGCACGCACCTGAGTCATAAGACCTTGACGCATATTCTAAGTTTCTACACGCTTTTTATCTACGTAGTGAAGAAAGTGCTAAGATTTAGTGAGAACGAACGATCGCTGAGATGCTCGACAAGAACGATCTTTTAAATCTGAAAAGTGTTCGTGTTCCTCTTGACATCAAAAATCGTTCTAACAGGATGACCAGACGTTACTTCCTATGAAATGCACCACACATCTGAAAATTGCGACCATCAAAGAATCTCAATCACTGACTGGTAGTCAGTAATGGTTCGCGCTTTGTTCGCGTCTAGACATTGCATTCCCGGTCCAGAATATTGATAGGGTTTGCCACACACCGACTTCGGGAGCTTGAAAGCTGGCAAAGCGCTTTTCCCGGTACGTCAGTGGAACCCGCACAACATTTATGCATATAGAGCACGACGACGTTCTTACATTCTCTCTTCAGCTTGTGTCATTTAACGATGCAGACTTTGCGGGAGATGTGAAAGATTTTGAGTCGATAGCGCAGGAACTCAGTTTGTTGATGGTCTGGTAAAGCCAATCGAGATCGGGTCCAAAAATGTAGACAATTTAATTAAGTACGAGGTGGTATTGGATGAATTGCTCGTGGCATGCTAGCCAGCTATTTGGATGTTACCGTTAAGAGGACCCAACAAGCTGAACCCCATCTCATTCGCACGGTTTTGTACCTTAAACATTTTAAGGGACCGCGATCAAGAGACCGCGATCAGAGGACCGCTATCTGGCGTGGGCCACGTGATATAGAAGGATTGCATATCCAATCGGCATAGATAAGACACGTCGCGGTTGATCCTTACATACGGAGTAGTAGTGGTTATAGTTTGGGGTTTTGGTTGGTCAGTATTTAACAGACTTTAATTTGCTTCTAAACAAGTACGTGTCGTTCTTCTTCCGGGTTGGATTTTTTGGCCTTCCGACGTCAGAGAACTTTAAAACCAAGTACACGAAGATTACTCCTGGAGTTGTTTAGCCAGTAGTGCAAGGACTCTTAACACACCTCAACTGCGACCGGACGCAAGAAACCGTACTGGTTGAAGTACAAGATCGCGAGACGGCTCAATTGGTCAGAAGGCTCGCGACTCAAGTACCCCATTTTTGGCAAAAGTCAATCTAGGCTGATTGCGTCGACTCTAGGAGAGCGACAATCAGGAACACGCGATCGGGTGAGGAATTTCCATCCCATCGACACCAATCTCTAAAAGGATCAAGTTCAGCACCTAGTCAATTCCAGCTAGAAGAGTGCAACCCGCCCTACCGACGGGAACACAAGGTGAGGAGAAAACAAGTGCAAGCGGATCCGGAGTCCCCCCTCCGTTAGTCTGTTGTCTGGGAACCAGTGGAAAGTTAGGATCGCTCTACAAAATGAGGGAACCACAATTACCACACACGCACCGACTGATTCCATCTCCACGTCAGTCATAGTACGTTGCCTAGAAGCTTGCGTTCGAATTCTTGGTGCTTGTCAATTCTCTGTTTTATGCGCCCTTTGTGCCTCTGCGGTCGCTTTACCATCTTGGTATTAGTGTTGTACCTGGCGTTCCTGTAAAAAACGTGCCGTCGCCGCATCAAAATTTGTCTGCAAGTTACCTACAGTGTTATCAGGTGCGTCCGCCCCAGAATCTTCGTCACGTGGTGGTAGTGATCGTGCTGTATTCCCATTGGGTGAAAATTCTCGCTTTTAGGCGCTTGGATGTTTTGGTGGACACGTGTCGTCGTTTCGTGATCGTGCTGGCTTGTCGCTCCGCCCCTTGCACGAGCTTGGAGCATCGCTTCTCCTGCCGGTTCTAGTGGTATCCGGTCGTACTGGTCAAGAGCAGGCGAACCGTGTGACGACCGCTCATTCGTGTCTTTCGTACCTGGCGGTATATTTGGTAGGGGGGACTGCGCATAACCCTCGGTTTTTTTTAGATGTGGTCGCGCTTGGGGATGGGCTACAAAGTCTTGAAGCATTATCTGTCTGTCATGAGATGGTACCGTTATAGATTGTGCTGGTGGCACGTTGTTGTGTCTGGAGGTGGTCTCGACCAGCATCGCTAAACTCTTTTGCAACTTCACTAACCTGCTTGTGATTCTGTTGAACTGAGGTCGATCAAATCGTTTGAATCAAATTTTCTTGCAGACACGTTTCTCTCGCGGAGGAGGGTCATTAGCGCAGTGACCGCCTCGG